ATATATAAAAATTCCTTGACCTTTTCACTTTTTTTTGTAAAAATCTTATCTCCTCCACTCTTAACATATACTCATATAAGTTAATTATTGCAGGCACTTCTTATCGGAAGTTCTGCCGCAGGATACCCAGCAATGCTATACTGTGATCGCTTCCGTAAATTGTTGCCAAATACTCCTAGAGTGAAATGCATGGTTGATGCTGGTTATTTTATCCATGTGTAAGATTTTTATGGAGGGCCATAATTATTTGTTTAATAAAATGATATATTCATAACTGCAATCTAACTTTGGAGCTCTTTTTTTCTAATTATAGGAAGGATCCTCACCAAGCAAGAAATTTTACCGAAATGTATAAAGCAATTGTTAATTTACATGTAAATTCCTATTCCCTAGTTAATTACGTAGTATCTTTTTTTTTTTTTTTAGAAAATTTCATGAAAAATAGAAAAAAGAAAAAACGACACTTGTTGGTTTGTGTGATCTTAACCTAATTATCTGACCTACTGTGCAGGGATCTGCCAAAACGTTACCAAAATCATGCACTTCAAAAATGAAACCAGAAATGGTACAAATTGATTTACTGTAATTCATATTATTTTGTGTATTTTTGCGAGTAAACTAATGGTCATATATAAAAATGTTCCAATTCACTACACGCAGTGCTTCTTCCCGGAGAATATGCAACACAAAATCAAGACACCACTTTACATTGCAATGTCGCCATTTGATAAATTCCAGGTACTTTGATATTTATCAATTGTATCCTTCTAGTATTTATTATGGTCCCTGACGAAATCAAGAATTCGCTTAGGATAATCAAGATTTAATATATATATATATATATATATATATATATATATATGTATATATATATATATATACACGTATAAAAGTACTTAACCTATATGCACCAGGGGCGTATCTAGAATAAAAGCTATGAGTTCAACCGAACCTATAAAGTTCAAATTTTGAATCCGCCTCTGATATGCACCGTATTTTTCGACGAAGTGGATCCTTTTCGTGACTTAAAAAAAAAATTTCTCATGGGAAAACATCACATATGTATCTTCGGCTGTAGTTTGATAATGGATTTACATTATTTTTCTCCATATACTATTTTGCAGATAAACACTACTATATACAATGGGATAAATACATGCATTGAAGGCGGAAATTGCACTGCAACTGAGAACAAACTCTTTAGAGGTTAGTACATTTTGTATAACTTTAATTACTTCTTTTAATTATTAATATTATTCGTTGGTGTATATTCTAATACTTCTGGATTTGATATTTCAGAGTTTAGGTCGGAATTCTTAAATGCTTTGCCCAAAGCAAATAATCCTAAATTAAGAGGAGCTTTCATTGACGCACGCAATCATCATACCCAAGTCCAAGGATGGTGGTCTCCTAAAAATGTCACCACCGTTAAAAATTTGGTACGTATGAGATTTAGGAATTTCAGGAGAAAAGAAAAGGAAAAAAGTAGTTTTATTATGATATTAAATGAAGTGTTTCATATATGCAGAATCTAATGAAGGCATTTGCTGATTGGTACTATGATCGGAACTACACCTATGTGATAGATGAGCGTGACTTGCCAATCTCTGCTATGAATGATATTAAACCTTGCGACACCAAGAAGTGACGATGTGCAGTGTTCAATTAAAATCTATTTATGTCAATGCATGTACTTTAGAGACAACAGCTTGCTGATGTATGTGTTGATGTTGCTAATATAAATCAATAAAGTTCAATTGTGGTTTATAAATTCGGTAAAGTTCACTTTTTTTTTTTTCCGGTTAAAGCTATCCAGCTGCTTCATAAGCCTGGACAAACATATATAGATAAATTTATTGGAGGGAGACTTCATCTTACCTTTGTTACGATGTCGGTTGAGCATCCTCAAACCTTTACTAAATGATGGATAAATATATATGTTCTACGTTACAAAATAGTGACTTGAGAGGGCTACTAGTCCCTCTTCTATATTGCATAATTACAAGCATATTAAGGAACATTAAATTGATATCTTCTGCCCAAGCTCCTGTCTAGAGAAATGGTATTCTTGTATTGTTTCATTCTAAATGAAGAAAATTGTAATATGTCCATTCTGTATTCTCCTCTAGCCTCCTCTGGTAGTTGTTGCATATTGTGAAACCATGTATATGACTAACTTTCAAGCCATAATTGGATAGGATATCAGCAACTTTGTTTCCTTCTCTATAACAATATGTTATTATCCTATCTTCCATAAGTTCGAGTTTGTTTCTCAAATCCAGAATTTATCAGTTAACTTCCATGGAATTTTAGCTTTTCCAAGCAACCAGTTAACCAATAACAAAGAGTCAATCTCCACAATGATCTTCTTGTATCCTTTCTCCACACACCAATCTAATCCAGCCTTCAGAACCAATGATTGTCATATTATTTGTGATAATACCAAAAGGGATTGCATAAGCAGCTAATAGTTCACCATTATGATTTCAAATAATCACTCCCCCTGCACTAAGGCATGCGTTGCCTTTAGAGTAGCCATCAGAATTGATCTCGACAAATCCCAAGTTTGGGAGTTTCCATTTAACATAGATAGAGGAGATTGAGAACTTATCATTATTCACTATATCACAAAAAATTTCCCAGTTCAGATAATGACTAACTTTAGGAAATTGTTTATGAACAATCATGCCTATTTGTTGTTGTATCTTCCAAATAATTCTTCCAGTGAACATTGTCTTATTCTCAAATTTGCATTTGCGCATCTAGCTTTCCAAATCTGCCATATAATGATTCCAGGAAGGGCCTGATGGATCAATTTCAGTAATGATTTTAAGTTTTTCATAAACCATCATTTACGTACATGTTGTCTAAAAGTAGTTGCAGTTTGACTCGTCTAGACCCTAAAAGTTTGATTAAAATATATTTTTCATCTTTGATACTTGAGTTGATATAGCATGAACGTTTGGATGGGAATTGGTGTCCAAATCTTTTCATATTCTCACCCACATGGATCTTATGTTTGAATAATTTCCATAGGAAAAGGAAATTTTTAAGGGAATCTTCTTATGCCAAATCAAATTATTAACCAAAGTAGTATTCTTTCTGTTTCTTAGATGATTCCAAGCAGAGCTACAATTGAATTTTCCATCTTCTAATGAAGTCCATATTCGATAATCACGTAGCACTAGAGAATTAATTTTAACTCCCTGGATATGTTGTACAATCCCAACAGGTAGTATTTGAGCTAGCTTGGCCACATTCTATTCTCTATTGATCATGAATGAAAATACATAAATTTTCTTTGATGTAGAAGCCTCTCTAAACTGTACAAGTTGTTCCAGGCATGTCTAGTTATCCCACCAGAAACTTGCATTTCCTTCATTGATTTTCCACAAAATCAAATGATCTACCATCTTCTTTATCTCCATTAACCTTCTCTAGGTATGTGAATTTAGGTAAGACCATTTTCTAGGTATAGGATGTATCCTGATGGAATATTTGGTTTTCATGAAGTCAGTCCATAGCGAATCTCTAGTTCTGAATTGCCAGCAAAGCTTAGCAACAAAAGTATCAGCAATGTCTTGTAAAGACCTCAATCCAACTCCTCCTTCACCTGTTGGATATCATAAGGTACTCCAAGATGACCGATGGTATTTCTGCTTTCCTTCACTGCTTCCCCAAAAAAATTGGCAAATACTCTTTCTATCTATTTTATTATTGTTTTTGGAGGATGGAAGATTGACAAAAGGTGCACTGGCATAGCTGATAACACATTTTTAATTAGGATCATTTTCCCTCTAGAGGATAGTAAGTGACTATGCCAAGTTCCCACCTTCAGCACAATTTTAGTGGCCATATAAGTAAATAATGGACCCTTTTCCTTCCTGCATAAATTGGACATACCAAATAAGTAATAGGAAGCTCTTTGCGTTGAATGTTCGAGCAGTTTTCTACTATGAATATCCTTCTGTAAGATATGTTGTCTCCTACCATAAAACAAATTTTGTTCTAATTGATTAGTTGACCAGATGCCTTTTCGTATTCTTTCAGTTGCTCCATCACCAAATTCAAAGATGCATTCTTTCCTGAAGAAAAAATAATAATATCATCAGCATAAGATAAATGATTAATTCTAGGTCCATTAGTATTCATAGTGAAACCTTTGAATCTTGGATTGTAAAATAAATAATTTAAAATTCTAAAAAGTACTTCTGCAAAAAAAAAAAAAAAAGAAAATCTCTCTCCTCTTTCTCTCTCGGCGCACTTTAGCATGCACTGCTAACTTGCACCCACCGAAATGGGGAGAGCATGAGGACGACCATCAAAAGCTTCGAAACAGCTAGCTGAGGAAGATAACAGATCCATGGAAGGAAGGAATTCAGAAATAGTGAGAACAGTAACACCAAAACCTCTAGTAATTGGAGGTGCTGGTACTGTTCCATTGCTCAAAGCTGGGACAAAGGAAAATAACATTACTGAGGAAAGAAAACCAATCGAGGAAGCATCAATAAGCAAAGGAAAGGCTCATGCAACAACAAATCTGAAGATATGGCCAACTTTACCTACTCGTAGTGGAGATAGCAGAGCACCAGAGGTTAAATGGACAACTCCGATCACCATGCAGCAGGATCTAAGCTCGAAAAGACCGGAACAAAAACAAATGCAAGGTGCAGATCTAGAATCGAAGAAGGTTCAAAGCGGAAGAATCAATGGAACAGGAACTCAAAATTGAGGTGCTCAGAGGAAGCTGCAGTTGGAGCCAGAACCAAAAGCAGGAAGGACATGGTCAATGCTATTTGAGGAGAACAAACTGGCTAAACGAGGTATGGATCTGACTTATGTACCACCTACACTGGTTGAGGGTAAAACAATTATTGAATTGATGCAAGAGGATATTGATAGTGAAGTATCTAAATGGAAATATGCGGCTATAATGTATGTCATAGGTGGATCATCAACAATTGGGGCTATGGAGAGGTTTATAGCAGGGCAGGGAAGTTTCTCAGTAAAGCCTAGAGTATATTACCATAATGAAGGGTATTTTGTGGTTAATTTTTTATGTTTGGAGGAAAGGAACATGGTGATGTACTCAGGACCTCATATGCTTAATAACAGACCTGTGATTATCAAGCAATGGACTACTGATTTTAATTTTGATGAGGAAGATTTGAAGACTATTCCAGTTTGGGTAAAGCTACCCAACTTACCTCTAAGTTGTTGGAGTGCAATTGCACTGAGTAAAATTGGGAGTGGTCTAGGCCAGCCCATATATGCTGATGGTTGCACTTCAAATGCTGAGAGGATTTCCTATGCACGAATTCTGGTGGAGGTTGATGTTACTAAGGAGCTCCCAAAGGCTATAAAAAGTGAAGGATCCAAAGGGTAGAATCATGGAGCTAAAAGTGTGGTATGACTGGAAACCAACCTATTGCTCAAGATATATGCAAATAGGCCATAATTGTCATCAACAGCAGCCTAAAACAGTAGTGGTGGAGAAGAAGACAGGTCAACAACAACACAAAGCAATTCCAAAACAAAGGACATAATGGAAGCCTATTAGCACAGGAACAACAGTACAAAATCAACAGTAGCAGGAAGTGTCAGTGAGAGAAAATGAGCCGCAAATATGATATGGGAGAAGTAAATGGTGATAGGTGGCAACAAGTAAAGAGCAAATCAGTAGCAAAGGGACAAAAAATATCAGTACCTGGGCAGCAAGTGACAGTTATTAATGGATCTAATAGCTTAATGGAGACAGGACAAAATCAAAGCATGAGAGGAATAGCTGAATGCAATACAAGTAGAGGAGTGGAGGTAGAGATGAAGGAGTATAACACCCCAACAGTTTAAATGATAGTCACATGGAATGTAAGGGCGTTCAATAAAATGTTTAAGCATAAGGAGTTAAAGGAGTTTATAAAAGGAAATAAAGTAGATATGATAGCAATATGTGAGCATAGAGTAAATGAAACAAAAGCTGATAAGATCATTACAAAGATATTGCCAGGATGGAAATGGTGCCATAATGTGTCAAATTCATGTAAAGGAAGAATTTGGGTGATATGGAATCCAAATGTGCTGCAGTTTACAATGCTAGAAAGGTATTCACATCTTATACATGGAGTTGTGAAGATTCTGAAAAGTAATGAGGAGTGCTATTTCTCTGCAGTATATGGCCTACATAGTGTGCATGATAGGTTAACACTATGGGATACAATAAGGAATGTAGAGAGGCAAATTAGGGGACCTTGGCTACTAATGGGAGACTTTAACTCAATTCTGGGGGCTGATGACAGAATGAATGGTAGAGATGTACATGATAATGAAACAAAGGACTTTAGAGAAGTAATAGAAGATTGCAACCTGGTAGAAATGCCTACAATAGGCAGGTCTATTACATGGACAAATAGTCATGTATTTAGCAGAATTGATAGAGCAATTGTTAATGATAGTTGGATGATCAACATGCCTCCTAGACAAGTCCATATAATGAATCCTCTTTTCCCATGTCATTCTCCTTTGGGTATTAAGATAGATGTGAGCTGTGATAACAAGAAGAGACCATTCAAGTTCTATAACTGTATGGCTGATCACCCTGAATTTTGGAAGATTGTGGAAACTAATTGGAAATGGAAGGATGGGACTATGGAAGCTATATGGCAGAACCTGAAGTGTGTTAAAGTAGCTCTGAAGCAATTGAACACAAAGGAGTTCATATATGTTAAACAGAAGATAAACAATATAAGGGAAGACCTGGAAAACATACAAGGAAGAATGAGAACTCATAATGCACCAAAAAGTCTATTTGAAGAAGAGAAAGAAATGCTAGTACAACTGGAGAAGTGGGATAAGATTGAGGAGTCCATTTACAAACAGAAGTCAAGAATACAATGGTTACAGTTGGGGGATACTAATAGTGCTTCTTTCTTTGCCAGCATGAAAGGAAGGAAAGCTCATAACCAAATTACAAAGCTTATTGACAGTGGTAAAGTCTTGACAGAGTGTAAGAAAATTCAAGCTTAAGTGGTTGGTTTCTACAAACAACTACTAGGATCTGCAAATGGAAGCATGCCTGCTATCCACCCTGGTTGGATAAGAAATGGAACAGTCCTCAATAGAAGACACCAAATGGAACTCATAGCTCCTTTCACTAAGGAAAATGTATATGAAGCTCTTAAAGGTATAGATGACATGAAGGCACCAGGAGGGGATGGATTTAATGCATGCTTTTTTAAGAAAGCACGGAATATCACTGGTGATGAGATTGTAAATGCTGTTCTGAAGTTCTTTAGCACTGGAAGAATGATCAAGCCAATCAACTGCACAGCAGTTACTCTTATTCCAAAAGTAAAAAACCCAACCTCAGTCAAAGAGTATAGACCAATCTCATGCTGCACTACCCTATACAAGATCATATCCAAAATGCTGACAAGTAGACTGAGGCAAGTAATGAACATACTGGTGGATGAGAGCCAGGCATCATTTGTACCGGCAGAGGTCTGAGTGACAACATTTTACTTAGCCATGAGTTGATAAAAGGTTATCGTAGGAAAGGGGTCTCACCTAGGTGCATGATCAAGATTGACATGCAAAAGGCATATGACTCACTTGAATGGATGTTTCTGGAACAAGTGTTAGATGGATTGTGTTTCCCTAAGGAGTTTATAGGATGGATTATGGAATGCATCAAAACATTGTCCTACTCCATTAATATCAATGGTAGTCCTACTGTTCCATTTGAAGCAAAGAGGGGTATGAGACAGGGAGATCCTATGTCTCCATTACTGTTTGTATTATCAATGGAATACCTGACAAGAATTTTGAAGCAACTGAAGGAGCAGCCTAATTTCAATTATCACCCAAGGTGTGAAAAACTGAGTATTGTCCAACTCAGTTTTGCTGATGATTAGTTACTTTTCTGTCTTGGAGATATGGTGTCTGTACAGTTGCTATATGAATGTTTCAACAAATTCTCAAAAGCTTCAGGACTAGTGGCAAATCAAAATAAAAGCTGCATGTATTTTGGTGGAGTTCCAATTGCAACACAGCAGGAAATCATTTAGATGACTGGATTTACTACAGGTGAACTTCCTTTTCGATACTTAGGTGTCCCATTACGCTCAAAGAGGTTATCAGTAAGCCAATGCCAACCTCTACTAGACAAAATGCTAGGGAAAAATAAGCAATGGACAGTGAAGTTTCTAAGCTATGTTGGGAGGCTGCAATTGATAAAGAGTGTTCTAATAGCTATCCAATCTTTCTGGTCACAAATATTTCCACTACCAAAAAAGACCATTCAGTTGGTTGAAGCCATTTGTAGGAAGTTTCTATGGACTGGTGATACTAGTTCGAGTAAGAAAGTGTTAGTGGTGTGGGATAAACTATGCAGACCTAAAACTAAAGGAGGTTTGAATGTTACTGATCTTGGTACATGGAATAGGGTGGCATTATTGAAACATTTATGGAATCTTTGTAAGAAGGACAAGTTGTGGATAAGATGGGTGCATGTCTACTACGTAAAAGGAAAGGATCCATGGGAAGTAGATGCGAATCAAGCTTCATGGATTATCAGGAAGATATTGCAGGCTGGGAAATACATGAATGAAGCAGGCTTGAACACTGGAATGGTGCTGATGACATAAACATTTTCTATCAGAGAAGTGTACAAACAACTGAGAGGAGATTTTCCAAAGGTGAACTGGAGCAGATTGTTATGCAACAACAGAAGCTGTCCAAATGGAGATTCATACTGTATCTTGCAATGCAGGGGAAGTTATATACAAAATATACATTGAACAGCTGGGGGATACAAGTAAGTCCAAACTGTCCATTATGCGAGCAAGAGTTGGAATGTCACAAGCACCTTTTCTTTGCTTGTCCATTCTCAGTAGACGTTTGGAGAAGGTTACTAGCATGGCTGGGGATTACGCGAAGACCAGGAAGCTGGGATGAGGAGCTCAAATGGGCAATGGATCATGTTAAAGGCAAAGGATCCAAAACTATGATATATAGGATGAGCATAACTGGAGCAGTGTACCACTTATGGCTGGAAAGGAATCGACGAGTTTTTCAACAGGAGAAAATATGCAGCGAAGATATTGTTAGACAGTTAGTATTAGAAATTCATTATATAGGCTATAGACAGAGTAGTTTGAGGAAAATTTTGCAAGCACTCAATTTTTATCCTTAGAAGGTGTTAGAGAGGGTGAGATTGTACTAAGTTTGGGGCCGTTTGTCCAAACTTAGTGTTTGCTATACTTGTAACTATTTACGTGGTAACGAAAATTTAATTACCAAAAAAAAGTACTTCTGCAACTAATATAAATAAAGAAGTGGATATAGGGTCTCCATGTTTTACTCCTCTCTTGAAAAAACCATATCTCTTCTCATTTATAATAATTGTATACCACATGTTACATAAGAGATTCCAAATTATATGTATCCATTGCTCCCAAAATCCCATTTTCCTCATAACTACACAAGTGAATTGCCAAGATAGCCTATCATAGGCTTTGTTCATATCTAATTTGACAACAATATTTCCTCCATTATTTGGCTATTTGATATCATGAATGATTTTGTCACAACCCCGATTTTCCCTTGTAGAATATTGTGATGGAACCTAGTCTCTACGACTAGGTAAGCCTAAGTAATAATAATAACTTGACAGAAAAAATTATCAAAATACTAAAACAAAGCTGAATACTGATATAACCTTTAGATACAAATATAATCTCAACAGTACGCTGCCAAAAATCGGTAGAACTGAGTCATAAGTTCTATAAAGTTAAACTAGGATAACTACTACATCACTGTCTGAATGAACTATAACAGTAAACAGAACAAAAGGGAAGGTGACTCCGAGGCCTGCGGATGTGGAGCAGGTATACCTTAAAGTCTCCCAAGAAGCAATTCAATCAACTCTTGCATCCGGCACGGGTAGGCGTACCTAGATCTGTACAAAAATATGCAGAAGCGTAGTATGATTATACCATGATGGTACCCAGTAAGTATCAAGACTAACATCAGTAGAGTAGTGACGAGGCCAGGTCAAGACACCTACTAGGATATAAATAAGTAGTATGGAAATGTAATAAGGATAAATAATGGAAAGTGAAGAAATAACTGATACGAAACAAGATAATAACATAAACTATTACCGGAAATCAAACATGGAAATAGCATAGAAGAAGCAACTAAAGAGAACTACAATGATCAAATACAGACAACAACAACTGCTAGAACAATAAAGAGTGAAACAACAAGAAATGTTCCCACCAAAACTCTTTACAACATGAAATAAACAACAAGAATCACAACGAGGAACTGTCTTGTGTACAATTAAATCACAACTGAGGCACCGCCTCATATAATCAAGAATCACAACTAAGGTACCGTCTCATATTCACATTTCTCAATTTCAATCACAACCTTTCCTTATACCGCTGCGTGAGCCTTACATTTGAAATGGATTTTGAAATAGTTTTTCCGAAATGGCTACATGCACTTTAGCCCACCTTATGATGCTGGTGGCTTCACGTATCTCCCTTACAAGCAACACGCATTATACTGTCGCATGCACATCAACCCCAAGCCTTATACAGCCACATGCGCGTCAATATCATATTACAATAACAACTCGCACCACGTGTGCCCATATATCACAATTTGCCAATAACCCACAATATCAATGTTTCCACAATAATAGCTCACAGATCCACCACAACGGGAACAAGAATATCAACAATAATAATGAATGTAAAATGCTCAAAAGGAAGATGGTCCAACAATAACAATTTCACCTCAATGTGATAACGACTTTCACAACTTCAATACCAATAACTCAACAAGGAAAGAGATAACGTGAACAATAACTTCAAATAATAGTAATCAACACGGAAAGAGGTAACATGAATAATGACTTCAATAAATGATAATCAAAATTAAAAGAGAAAACATGTATAATTATTTCAAATAACGGTAATCGACAATAAAGAGATGGCATGTAACAATGAAAGAGACAACAAGTTCAACTAAAGCAAGAGAGCAAATTATCAATTAGTAGGTAGAAAAGTGTTAACGAAATCATTTAAGGCATGTAAGGATAGATCAACACAAATAAGAATAGATTGACCAGGAGAATTAGAACATGATATGGGATTTCAATTAAAGCATAAAAATAGTCAAAGCAACCTAAATCCGACAAATACCACGTACAATCCGTGTACCCACTCGTCACTTTACGCACACGGATTTCATTTAACACGATTGAATCAAACAATAACGATCCTAAGGGTAATTTTCCCACATGAAGTTAGGCAAGACACATACCACAACTAGGCAAAATCAACACTTGGAAATAGCTTTTCCCTTAAATTTTGCCTACACACGGCTCAAATCTAACCAAAATCGACTCAATATCATCAAACAATGCTAGGGATTCAAGTGCAATAGATAAAGCTAAGATCTTTACACCATTTCCAAAAAGTCAACAAAAGTTAACCCGGGGCCCGCCCGGTCAAAACCCGGGTCCAATGGTAGATTTCGTGTACCCATGACCCCACGAGTTCATATATGTGGTTAGTTTCAAAATCCGAGTCCAAATCGACTCTCAAAACTCAATTTCTCATTTTTCAAAAACTTGACAAAGTTTCATAAATTTTCACTTTGATTCACATGATTTTGATGTTAAAATCTAATATATGTTGATAGAACATGATTAGAAATGGATTAGAATCACTTACCTAAATTTTGTAGGTGAAAATTTCCTCTCCAAGTCGCCTCCTACCGAGTCTAGGGTTAAAAAATGAGAGACGGAGTTCAAAAATCCCGTCTCCCATCCCTTTAACCAGCTGCAGATCGCACTTGCGACACAGATGCGAACCCTCGCAATTGCAGACTAGGGCTCGCATTTGCGAACCCTGACAGTCTTATGAAATCTCGCATTTACAAGAAAAGGCTTCGCAATTGCGAAGCTGGGAGTTTGGCAAATGCGAACTAATGTTCGCAATTGAATACCAAGCAAAAATGCTACTATTTTCACAAATATGAAGGATGAGTCGCATTTGCGACAACTGCCCCTCCCTGTCACCTTCGCAAATGCGACCTTCGTGTTCGCATTTGCGACACCACAACACCAGACACCATACGAACTCGCTCACGCGATCAAAACACAAAAATAACATCTAAAACTACAAATCAAACACTAAAAAGCATGAATTTCAAACTAAAGTTCAAGAGTCTCTAATATTACAACTAAATGTCCGAATCTTATCAAATCAACTCCAAACAACACCAAATTTTGCAGTCAAGTTATAATACCATATCGGACCTATTCCAAGTCAAAATCAAATTCTGAGCTCCATAGATAAAAGTCAACCTACGGTCAAACCTTTGGACTTCATATTGCCCAATTTCAGCAAATCAACACAAATCAACCTACAGACTTCCAAATCAAATTCTGAGCATACGCCCAAGTTTGAAATCACACTACGAAGTTATCTGAGCCATAAAAACACAGTTCCAGGATCGTTTTCGCAAAAGTCAAAGTTATGGAAATATTTTCTAATTTAAACCTCCAAGTGAAGAATCAAGGGTCCAAATCAACACGAAAGTTCCTCGGAACGAAACTAACCAACCCGCAAGTCATCAAATCAGAAACACACATGCGTGAAGCATAAAAAGGGTAACATGGCGCAATTACAGAAAACGACCAATCGGGTCATTACATGCTCCCCATCTTAAAACAAATGTTCATCCTGGAACGTGCATAAGGACATACCTGAAGTAGTGAATAGATGAGGATATCGACTCCGTATGTTGTGCTAGGTCTCCCAGGTCGCCTTCTCGACCGGATGACCCCTCCATTGAACCTTCACCGAAGCAATATTCTTTGATCTCAACTTCCAGACCTATCTGTCCAAGATAGCCATATGCTCTTCAATATAAGTCAAATCCTCATCCAATTGGAGTGTGTTAAAGTCTACAACATGAGACAGATCACCATAATACTTCCGAAGCATAGAGACATGGAATACCGGATGAACCGCAGATAAACTAGGTGGCAAAAAAAGCTTGTAGGCCACCTCCCCATTCCTCTCAAGGATATCAAAAGGTCTGATATACCTAGGGCTCAACTTGCCCTTCTTTCCGAACCTCATCACACCATTCATGGGTGAAGCCCAGAGCAAGACTCGCTCTCCAACCATGAATATAACATCGCAAACCTTTCGATCCACATAACTCTTCTGTCTAGATCAGGCTGTACGATGCCGATCCTAGATCATCTTGACCTTCTCCAAAACATCTCGCAGCAAATCTGTGCCTAGTAACTTAGCCTCTCCCGGCTCAAACCAACCAACCAGAGAACGACATCATCTCCCATATAGAGCCTCATACGGAGCCATCTGAATACTCGATTGGTAGTTGTTGTTGTAGGTAAACTCCACAAGCGGCAAGAACTGATCTCAAGTACCCTCTAAATCCATAACTCAAGCGCGAAGCATATCCTCCAATATATGAATAGTGCGCTCGGATTGTCCATCCGTCTGAGGGTGAAATGCTGTACTGAACTCCACCCGTGTGCCTAGCTCACACTGTACAGCTTTCTAGAAATGCGATGTGAACTGCGTACCCGATCAGAGATGATGGATACTGGTACGCCATGAAGTCGGATAATCTCGCGGATATAAACTTGAGCCAGCTGCACTGAAGAATAGGTTGTCACTATCGGAATAAAATGAGCCGACTTGGTCAACCTATCCACAACCACCCATACCACGTCAAATTTCTTTTGAGTCCATAGGAGCCCAACAACGAAGTCCATGGTGACATCTCCCATTTCCACTTGGGAATCTCAAGACGCTGAAGCAACCCACCCGACCGCTGATGCTAATACTTCACCTACTGACAATTCAGGCACTGAGTTACATACTCCACTATGTCCTTCTTCATCCTCCTCCACCAATAGTGTTGCCTCAAGTCCTGATACATCTTAGCGGCACCCGGATGAATGGAGCACCGTGAACTGTGGGCCACCTGAAGAATCAACTCATGCAGACCATCCACATTGAGCACACATAACTGGCCATGCATCTGCAATACACCGTCATCTCCGATAGTAACCTCCTTGGCATCACCGTGCTGAACCATGTCCTTGAGGACAAGGAAATGGGGGTCATCATACTGATGCTCTCTAATACGATCATATAGAGAAGACCGAGAAATCACGCAGGCAAGAACTCGACTAAGCTCTAAAACATCTAATCTAATAACTGGTTGGCTAAGGCCTGAATATACAAGGCTAATGGCCTCTATGCTACCGGTAGATATGCTAAGCTACCCAAACTCTCCGCCTTCGTCTCAAGGCATCGACCATCATATTGGCCTTCCCAGGATGATATAGAATGGTGATATCATAGTCCTTAAGTAAATATAACCACCTCCACTACTGCAAGTTAAAATCTTTCTATTTCAACAGATGCTGTAGACTCCGGTGGTCGGTAAAGACCTCACAAGGGACACCGTACAAATAATGCCGCCAGATCCTCAATGCATGAACAATGGCTGCCAACTCCAAGTCATGGATTGGATATATCTCCTCATAGGCCTTTAGCTGTCGAGATGCATAGGCAATAAACCTACCATCTTCCATCAATACCGCGCCAAGGCAAATACGTGATGCATCACAATACAGAGTATAATGCCTCGATCCCATAGGCAACACTAACACTAGGGTTGTATTCAAAGCTGTCTTGAGCTTTTGAAAGCTCGCCTCACACTCCTCGGACCATCTGAAAGGAGCACCCTTCTGGGTCAATCTAGTCATAGGTGCAGCAATAGAAGAGAAGCCCTTTTCGAAACAACGATAATACCCGGCCAAACCAAGGAAACTCTAAATCTCAGTAGCTGAAGACGGTCTGGGCCAATTCTGCACTGCTTCAATCTTCTTCAGATCTACCTTGATCCCCTCACTCGACACCACATGACCCTAAAACTCCACCGAATCAAGCCAGAATTCACACTTTGAGAATTTTGCATACAACTTATTCTCTCTCAAGGTCTGGAGCACGATCCTCAAGTGCTGCTCATGATCTTCCCGACTGCGGGAGTATACCAAGATGTCCAAAATAAGCACAATGACAAATGAATCAAGATAGGGCTGGAACACACTGTTCATCTGGTGCATAAATGCTACTAGGGCATTGTTCAGCCCAAATGACATCATAAGGAACTCGTAATGACCACACCGAGTCCTAAAGGCAGTCTTCAGAATATCTGGACCCCGAATCTTCAGTTGATGCTAACGTGAACGCAGATCAATCTTTGAGAACTCTAGCACGTTGTAGCTGATCAAATAAGTCATCAATGCGTGGTAAGGATACATGTTCTTCACTGTAACCTTGTTCAGCTGTCGATAATCAATACACATGCTTATAAAACTATCATTATTCTTCACAAATAAGACCGGAGCACCCCAAGGCGACACACTAGGCTGAATGAAACCCTTATCAAGTAACTTTTGCAACTGCTCCTTTAACTCCTTCAGCTCCGCTAGGACAATATGATATGGTGGAATAAAAATGGGCTGAGTGTCTGGCAACAAGTCAATACCAAAATCTATATCCCTGTCAGGCGGCATGCCCGGAAGATCCACTGGAATACATCTGGAAAGTCTCTTAATACTGAAACTGACTTAACGGTAGGAGTATCAACACTGATATCCCTCACGAAGGCTAGATAAGCATGACATCCCTTCTCAACCATCAGTTGAGCCTTTAGAAATGATACAACCCTGCTAGAACATAATCTAATGCACCTCTGCACTCTAACCTTGGTAAACCTTACACAGCCAGCGTCACAGTCTTGACGTGACAATCTAGAATAGCATGATAGGGCAACAACCAGTCCATGCCCAATATAACATCAAAGTCTACCATACTAAGTAACAATAGATCAGCTCTGGTCTCAAAACCATCAATAACAACTAAACACGACCGATACACACGGTCCACAATAATAGAATCTCCCACAGGCGTGGACACATAAACAGGAGAACTCAAAGAATCACGAGATATATCAAAATACGGAGCAAAGTAAGATGACACATATGAATAAGTGGATCCCGGATCAAATAAGACTTATGTATCTCTATGGAAAACCAGAACCATACCTGTAATAACTAAGTCTGAAGCAACTACCTCTGTCTTACCTAGAAAAGCATAGAATCTGTCCTGGCCTCCCCCTCGAGTGTGACCTCTACCCCCCGTCCCCTACTCCTGGCTGCTGTATGGGAGGAGCGACAATTGGGGAGCACCCATAGCATAGGAAGTTTGTGGACCTGACTGAATCCGTGGAGCCTGAGTAGCCTAGGGAGGTGCACCCATCCCGAGTCTAGGGCAGTCTCTAACCATGTGGTGGGTATCACCACACTCAAAGCAAGCTCTCGATGGGTGAGGCTGCTGGTGTCACACCTCCTTTTTACTACACCCGCAAGGGTATAAAGGAGTTTTTCCAATTAAAGGACAATCGGAACGGGATTTATTATTAATATTCAGAGTCGCCACTTGGGAGATTAATGGTGTCCCAAGTCACCGGTTGAATCCCGATCCGAGGAGATCATGACTCTGTTAACAGTCCGCGAACCAGAACTCCGAGTAAGGAATTCTGTTAACCCGAGAGAAGGTGTTAGGCATTCCCGGATTCCGTGGTTCTAGCACGGTCGCTCAACTGTTGTATTTGCTTTTATCTGATTTTTAAACATATACTAACCTATGTGCCTTTTATTTTAACCGCTTTTATTTTATGTCTTTTTAATAAGAATTGCAACGTCGTGAAAATGTGTCTCGATCCATGTCACACCAGTGCGCCCGTGGCTTTTGACACATTCCGACTTCGTTGAGATTTAGATTTGGGTCACATAAATGTGCACCCACATTTAGGAAGGTAATATTATTAAAATACGCGCCCTAAGCAACTATGCATTCATTATCTTTGGGGAGGACCGTGAAATTTGCTAAAACGGTCTGCCCGAATTCTAAGTATTTTTATGTAACATTTATTGAGGGCCCCGCGATTTATGTGTTTTATTTAGCGAGGCTAGGCTCATTATTTTATCAAAAGGGCAACCTAAAAACGGACTACGATTCTCTATTTTTGTATTAAAAGAACATTAGGTGTTACCAACTCAATTGCAGTTGGCCCAAGAGCCCAATCCAAGTGGTCTGCCACACCTAAACCCATCATACCTCAAATAGGAGATCCTGGGGTCGATTTCCTGAGTCGAGTGTACCAAGGCCCGTTTTGTTTTACCTTATTCGAGATCGCTGAACACTACTCCATGCTTAACAACTATCATTTCTAACTATTGACCCGTTGGAAACATTTACAGTACGCTTTCAAACTCAGACAAATTCACGCTATGATTATACGAAATCAGTAATCCATTGCCAATCAAAAACAGCCTGATTTTCCATTTTTCAAAACTATATGAAAGAGCAACCAATGAGAGATTATGCCAAGCTACCATTAACAAACAACATGTTGACAGAATAAAACAGTCTCAATTAGCACAATGATAGATTAATGTTTCAGTTATGCTTATTAACTACATAACTACTACAAACTATCTACAAATTAGCAATCAGCAGAGGCGAACTTCAATGCATAAATTCGATGGAATTTCTTCATTGTACTTCCAATTCAACAGTTACATCAAATCAGTTTCGGATGTGTACCTGGAATTTGCAAAGGAAACAAGAAGGAAAGAGTCAGCAGTAGCACAACAAGGCAACAACAATGGAGTTAGCCCAGGAATAACTAAAATAACTAGCCGGATACAGATTTGGACAGCAGAACTATCAAATGACCCTCAGCAATCAATCAGGCAACCAATGCAAGGGTAGATTGAACTCAAAAATACCAGAGATCTCAACAAACACCAACGGCAATAACGAATCACCCACAACAGCCACTTAAGCCTCAAATACTACTCGAAATGCAAACAAACATCCTCGAAAGCAAACTTAATTTCTCCTGGAGCTTTAATGAAACAGAAGTCGACCAAAATCCAACCCCAGACCAGCTTGAAATAACCAAAACCAACGGCAAACTAACAGTCACATTTCAGAAGAAACTCAGCAAACAGAGGAGAAGAGAACTGGTCGAATTTGGCTAACATCAATGTAACAGTATATAATTTTGATTTTTTGCAGATTTTTGTTGTTTTTGGTTTCCCTATTTTTTTGAATTTCTACTTTCAAATCTGGGAACTGAAGAGTACTTTTTGGGAGGGGAATTTTAGGCCTCCAAACTTGTGAATCAAGGCAAATGAATGCCTATTTATAGGTGAACTTAGGGTCCAATTTCAGATTTTCCCTTTACCCATTAGTCCCTGTTTTAATTCTATTTTTTATCCTTTATTTTCTGACTTATGGTCACACAAGTAACATACCCTAAGTTTTACTGAAATCTGCACTATAGTCCATCCTAGAAGGTTCTATGCCCATTAACAATTCCTATTCTACCCTTACTTTACCTCAACAATTACCAAATCTGATTAAACTACCTTTTCCATGCCTAAACTACCCTTAGCATCCCCTGAAATTACTGAACAAGTTAAACTAGTCCATCAGCCATAACCAAACAATCTATGTCTAGGGCTAATCAAACTAGACAAATCAGTTAATCAAAGAGGTTGGAACAATTAAAATCAAATTGCAGTAAACAACTAGGAGTCGACTAATTGAACCTAAAATCAGACCACTTAAACGTATATGACTACTGGGAACAATATTGTCATGAAGAACAACACTTAAGCTAGATCTGAACATGGAATTACTAACGCAATTACTGAATCAAACTAGACTAAACTAATTAATTATCACTAACCAATAATAACAGTAAAGAATCAAATACTGAAGAAAAAAATTGAAATCAAAAGTGCCTAAAGAATTAAAGATTATCCAAACAGATTTAAACAAGAGCATACTGAACAGAATCAAAACAGAATTGAACAACTTACTAATTTTGAGCATTCGACTGACTATGGGGCGAACTCTGACCAGCTAATGTTTGTTTGAATCCTCCGGGATTCTTGAACACGTAACATCCCTAATCGTGTGTTTTCAAAAGAAAACACGTGATTAGGGAAATTACGGTCCAAAATCCCCAAGATTTCTGAGTTAGGGTTCTGCCGGACTTTGGGATTTAAAATTTGTAATGCTCCGGGCAGATTTGAGACAAGTGGCTATGGGGGTTGGGTGGAGGAGACTCAGATGAACCTAGGGTGTTAATTTGAGACTATTTGGCATACTTTGGGTCTTGGCCGAAAATATTCAGACTGAGATTCGGCCAATTCGAGGCAGATTCGGAGAAAAACAACCGGGGATTTGGATAGTGGGAGGGGAAAGGGACCTAGGGTGTTAATTTGACCGGTTTGGGAGAAGTGTGTCATGGCCGGAAAGTTTAGATGAATATTCGACGAGATTGGCTATGATTCGAGGGGAGCTGAGGGCATGGTTGGAAAGAGGGGAGAACAGTGGTTCTAGGGTGTAATTTTTTGTGGTTACGGAGCATCGCCGCCGCCGGCGGCGATTTCCGGCCGCGACGCTAGGGCGGAAGACGGTGGCGGACGGTGGGGTGTCGATGGCTTATGGAGTACGAGGAAGACGGATTGTGTTTTTGTTTTTTGTATAATTTTCGGACAGTTTTTATTTAAATTTGAGGATCAATCGTGGCCATTGGATTTGGGAAAACGGACGGTCATGATTAAACGACGTCAAAACAACGTCGTTTTGAGTATGGGGCAACTGGACCGGGCAGGGCGTTTGGGCCAGTGGCTTGGGCTGGGTTGAAGTCAATTAAATGGCCCAATTAGGCATTATTGAGGCAGCCCTTTTAATTGCTTTTTGTTTTCATTTTTATTTCTTTTATTTATTTTTGTATTTTCCTTTTGTATTATTTTTTTTGATTTTATAAAAATGCAAAATTAAAATGAAACCTAATTTATTTTGCAAAATTAAAGCTAATTAATTCCTATTTAAATAAACTCAAGACAAATTCAACAACTAACAATTAAAAAAATGCAAAAATGGACTATTTTTATTATTTTCTTTAAATTTTGTTCTAAAAACAACTTAACCACTAAATAATCCTTAAATACGAAATTAGATCCTAAATGCAAATGTCAGGCATATTTTTTATATTTTGATATGAAATAAATGACACAAATAAAAAATGCAAACAATTAACAGAAAATAACACAAAATTCACAAAAGTGTAAAATAATGAAAGAGAAATTATTTGTTTGAATTTTTTGGGAATAATTCATATATAGGGCAAAAATCACGTGCTCACAGCTGCCCCTCTTTGCTCGGGAACACGCAGAGTTCTCGGGCAAAGACAATTGAGCGAAAATGAGCGATTTTTGCCCGTTTGCATATTCCGTTTGAAGCATTTTGAAAGAGTTGACCGCACCCTGCTTCAAAGGTTGCCTACATATCCTGGGCTAAACAGGAATCAGGTCAGTGTAGTTCGAGAAGGTTTGGTAGCTGGGACTACCAGAGCTTGTGATTCACTGCTGTTTGCTGCCGCTATTGCTCGCTGACCTCCTTATTACACCGTGTCTAAAATACAAAAGAAGCTAGCCTAAGCTATGATTACAAAAGTCCTATCTATGTCTTCAAACTTGCTCTTGTGTTGCTTGAACTTGTATTCTTGCTGATGGAATCCTTGGTGTTGCCTTGCATTATGATCAGAAGATGTTTTGCCATTCCTCCAAGTGATGCTCTGACCGCTGAAATTTGAGATATATGCTTCTATTCTCCAAGCGGGCTCCCTGATTGCTGACGCGTTGAAAAGTATTCCCTTGTTCTCCAGGTGGGCTCCTGACTGCAAAGCTTGGAAAGTATTCCCTTGTTCTCCAGGTGGGCTCCTGACTGCAACAAAACAAATTAAAATTTTTTTTTTGCCCCAGTTTGGTGGCTGGGTTCAGCATGTTATCAAATATTTAAAAATTAAAAGCTAAAATTTAAATTGTACTTCCCTTGTTCTCCAGGTGGGCGCCTGACTGCTGAAGCTTGAAAAGTATTCCTTTGTTCTCCAGGTGGGCGCCTCTGACTGCAACAAAAATAAACAACGAAGAAATTTCTGCCCCATTTTGGGTAACTGGGATACAGCATGTTAGTCAAATATTAAAAATTAATAAACTTAAAAATTGAATTGCACTTCCCTTGTTCTCCATGGGGCGCCTGACTGCTGAAAACTTGAAAAAGTATTCCCTTGTTTCCCAGGTGGGCGCCTGACTGCAAAGCTTGAAAATTGTTCCCTTGTTTCCATGTGGGCGCCTGACTGCAACAAAACAAACAAAAAATATTCTATCGCCCAGTTCGGTAACTGGGTACAGCATGTTATCAAATATTAAAAATTAAAAGCTAATTTGAATTTGCACTTCCTCGTTCTCCAGGTGGGCGCCTGAATGCTGAAACTTGAATATTATTCCCTTTGTTCTCCCAGCGTGGGCGCCTGACTGCAAAGCTTGAAAATTATTCCTTTGTTCTCCAGGTGGGCGCCTGACTGCAACAAAACAACAAAGAAAATATTCTGCCCAGTTTGGTAACTAGGTACAGCATGTTATCAAATATTAAAAATTAAAAGCTGAAATTGAATTGCACTTCCCTTGTTCTCCAGGTAGGCGCCTAACTGCTGAAACTTGAAAAGTATTCCCTTGTTCTCCAGGTGGGCGCCTGACTGCAAAGCTTGAAAATTATTCCCTTGTTCTTCAGGTGGGCGCCTGACTGCAACAAAACAAACAAAGAAAATATTCTGCCCCAGTTCGCACTAGGAAAATTTTGGGAGTTGTTTAGCAAATATAGATCACCTAAGCTATTGATGCAATGATAAGAGTAAAACCAAAGAACTTAATTGGAATTGCACGATCCCTGTGAGTAAAACCAAGGACATTTGACTAGCAAATTCATCAAATTACGGCCTTCTATCTTAGGAAGAAAGATTCCTCAGATAAGATTTTGAACCTAGGAGGAAAGTTCATCAGACTAGGTCTTCAATCTTTATGAGAACAATTCATCAAGACTAAGAATTTCCTATCTTAGGAGAAAGATTCATCAGACTAAGATGTGATCCTAGGAG